GGGGGGGGGGGGGGGGGTCGCGGTACACATTCTTCCTGTCAAACCGTCCTCGAAAGTATGTGTTTGTGGATGTTTTTTGGTGTTTGCTTCATTAATGTTGTGGTGAAATGGTTGCACGCTACACCTTATGGAGTGTAGCCAACATCATACTTTTAAGTTTTCAAAAGCTTCCCTAAACATCTGCTAATAATTTGGAAATGCATTAATGGTTTATAAAGGACGCCTAAATCCTCCTCTGCGTTTGAAACATTATTGTCAACATTGCCCTTGAAAACAGACAAAAAACTACAATTAAATAGGACAGGCTGCGGCCTTCACATTTTACTGTGCAAACACACCACAGAGAACAGACAAACCGATTTTAAATAGATGTATTACGTGTGATTCAATTTCCATAAAATCGACGTCTCTTAAATTCATTTAATATCCACCTATATTGCTTAAAAGACATCGTGACATTAATTGTAAAAAGCTTTCGGCGTGAATTCAAGATGGTTAGGACTACTGAATAGCACAACATTGCTGTGTAGACACTTGCAAGTAAACTTAAATTGTTTTGTGAGGCGTTAAAATGAATTGAGAGGTTGGCCCTAGTTTTGAGGCAAACTGTGAATACCTAATTTTATTTATTTTATTTTTTTTGCTCTTCGTTGTCCAAAATATTCCACATCCGCTGCCTAATTATTACTAAAAAAAAAATTGCATGCCCCCACACGCACTCACATGGACAAGGACTTTCTTTTACCAAAAACTAAGAGGATGCTTACTTTGCTGCTCCGTTATTGATCGAATGCCCAGAATATCTGTAACAGAATGAGAGGAAGGCCATATCCTATGCATTGCCATGTGTCCAGGAAGAGTGGGCATGCCAGGCGGAGTTGGTACTTTAGTCCCAGTGGCTGCGATCGGAGTTGGATACGAGTACAGGTGGTTGTAGGATAGGGTGGGTTGAGACTGAGGATGAGGGCCCTGTTTGCTCGACTCATACTGGTTCTGTTGAGACAGATTTCCGATCTTGTTGCGGGAAAAAATATATATATATATAGATGACCATGGAACCGTCCCAAAAGTTATTTTATGCTAACGTTTTTTATTTAGCTTTATTTTAAATTCAACTCTAAAGTGTTGATGCTTTACATACAATAAAAAGAAAAGTTATTTTGTATGAACTCTTCATAAGACATTGACGTTTCATGTCACAATGTAGTCCCTCGTGCGAAAATATTAAGAATTCGACAAGGCCATAAATGAGATTCTTTTAAACTTGTATTTTCAATTGATGATGATTCCAATTGAAGTGAAGTAAAAGTGGCGACCACTTATTTGTTGAAAGGGGTAAACAAACTAGTCCGGTGTATGTTTGATGCTGAGGATACCAATAAATGTGAGCCATCATTAATAACATCAATAACAAACTGACCTAATGTTAAAGAGGTATATATTTAATCAATAAATTACTTTACCGTTTTAATTATTATGTTTTCTAATTGGTCGGTACACATAGGCTATGAAACGTTTATCTTAAAAAAAACGTGTAGCCTATTATTATGCTATATCATGTTTTTATGTTAATATGTGTGGGCATGTATACATGTGTTATTAAATATATTTGTTAGTATATGATACGTTTTATGTTGAGGCCTACAGGATTTGAAAACCCTTTAAAGGTGTCAGGTGTAATGGTATTGTTTAGCTGCGCTCGGGCCTTTTTGAACACTATGACAGCCAAGGCAAAGATAGTGGCCTTTCATGTTTTCCCCTATCAGCGTTTGGTTTTCTCTTACCGTTCAGAGTAGGCTATTTCCATCTGAAATCTCACTGCGGGCTTTACTCTTAGTTCGAATCTCAAAGCTTAGGCTATAGAGTATTTTTGTATCCGTTTCAGAAACGTCACGTGGATAAAAAAAATTAATTGGTGTTCAATTATGCTTTATGTGCATTTTAGCATTGTCCAAAAAAGTAATTAATTGACGGTGCTCCTATCGCATGTTTGACGTTCTCTGTCACATATAAGCACCATAGCAGTTTTCATCTGGGCTGGTTTTAAAGGCCTGTCTCCTCTGTGTCGCTACTCACTAAAACGATTCCTAATTAGTTGAGATGCCTTAAATCTCCCAAATAACTATGTTTCTAATCGATCTGAGGGAGATTCGAAACATTTGCATTATTCAAATCAGACTCTTAATTTCTGAAGAACTGCCTCCAAAGTAAACATTATAGGTTTGGCTTGTTTGTGGCTTCAGCCGGGTGAGGGGACAAAACAAACGCGGACTAGAGAACTACGAAAGACAGTTGATTAAACCTGATCGCATGCTGTGTTTAGGTGAAGTTTGAAAAATACGATGACTAGGCCTATTCTCCAGATTAACTGTTGGGATATCTCAAATAATTTGAATGTAGGTTTAGTTTACTCGCTGCATTTAATGTTTTCGTGCGTCTATTGCTATCCTTGCAGAAAGAGAGCATAAATCTATAGCGCACTAACTGACCACCGAGAGATAGAGAAAGGGGTGCGTTAATGAGGTGTGAAGACTGATGCGAAAGGCAGCCTGCTTCAGCCACACGTTCAGCCTTTGCGTGGGAGACCCACATGATATTAGACTCTACAGTGGCTTTCCAAGACACCATGAACTTCTTGTCCACGAATGAAATATAAAAACAAAATATATAATCATAAATGTAGTATTCCTCGATAGCAGCAGTGATAGTATATAGAAAAATGTTATGCTGTATGTTAAAAGAATTTGTATTGAATCACGTTGGAATAGAGTAATATATATATATATATGTATAGCCTACATTTATTGTTTTATGCTGTTGTTTTAGAATGGGAGATTTAATGGAATATCTGCATAGGATACCTAATAAGACCCAAATTAGAAACGCTATTAACCAATTTGAATCATTTTTACATTATTCGTTTATTTGTCATTTCTATATAATAGACTAGGCTACTATAATACGAAAGCGCACATTTCTATTTCAAGTTAGGAAGCCGATGTAAAATTATGTAAATGCATAATTTCTTGCATCGGTTCTTGTTTGTAATTTCTTTGTTTGTTGTTAGTTATTAGACATTATAATATGGGGAATTTGTTCTGCATCGTAGCTATTGCTTAATTATCGCTGGAATGGAACTGATGAAGATGGGTGCCTGATGAAGAATGGAGCTGATGAAGAAGTTTACTTTGAGCTTGGGCTGCACAGACCGGTCAGCATAATAATGTTTATTTCTATGACGTTCTGTGTTTTCTTTTGAAGATTTAAATGGATCGTTTACCCCCCAAAAAGAAAATAGTCATAATTTACTCACCTTCATGTCGTTCCAAACTTGTTTGACTTTTTTCTTCTGCGGAACACAAAAGAAGATATTTTAAAGAATGTTGGTAACCAAACAGTTTTGGTACCATTGACATTTATATTTATGGACAAACAAAACACTGAGACATTCCTCAAACTATCTTCTTTTGTTTTCCACATGAGAAATAAAGTCATGCAGGTTTGGAATGACATGACGATGAGTAAATGATGACAGAATTTCATTTTTGGGTGAACCATCTCTATAGGATTATCCAAACGTGACAGCTCGTCAGTTTAAGTCAAAATATTTCAGCACTCTGCATGACGCATCTGAGCAGCACGCATCATTAATAAATACAATAATCTACTTTTTTCTTCTTCTAGGCTATATGGTTCTCAGTATGTCTGCGTTGAATGTTTTATAGATTGAACGATCTGGAATATCTTTCATTCAAATGATGGGTTGTATTTCTCTATGACCCACCCCAACCATCATTTTTTGTTAATTTCAGACCACAGCTCGAACTTTTTTTTTTCATTCGGAAAAGTGCGCGAGAATCACAAGTGCAGCTCACAGCTCAAAAAAAGTATTATTAGTCGCAAAAGCATTGCATCATCCTATCATACTTGGAAAAAAAACATCTGCATGTATAAAATTATTATTCTTATTAAATATTATCATACATGTATTATAAAAATGTCGCTTGTGTGGTCAACAGAAAAAACAGCGTTTTAATTATTATAATTAGCTATTATTATTATTATTATTATTTAACAAAACATTTGAGTTTGATACGCTTCATCTTAAAGACTGGTTGCACACATGGTCCGAGAGGGTGGAAGTCAGAAGTTTATTTAGACTCATTTTCATTCAAATGATGGGTTGTATTTCTCTATGACCCACCCCAACCATCATTTTTTGTTAATTTCAGACCACAGCTCGAACTTTTTTTTTTCATTCGGAAAAGTGCGCGAGAATCACAAGTGCAGCTCACAGCTCAAAAAAAGTATTATTAGTCGCAAAAGCATTGCATCATCCTATCATACTTGGAAAAAAAACATCTGCATGTATAAAATTATTATTCTTATTAAATATTATCATACATGTATTATAAAAATGTCGCTTGTGTGGTCAACAGAAAAAACAGCGTTTTAAAGTTATTATTAATAATAATCATTATTATAATTAGCTATTATTATTATTATTATTATTTAACAAAACATTTGAGTTTGATACGCTTCATCTTAAAGACTGGTTGCACACATGGTCCGAGAGGGTGGAAGTCAGAAGTTTATTTTGACTCATTACACACATCTCAGCTGCCATGAGCTCGTTACTCTCGAAAGCATCTGACCCTCTGATAGTAATGACTTTGTACGTTAATCTCGTTTTAAGAAGCACGCTCAAATAATTTCAGGACCAGAAATTAAGAGAACACTGAATGTGGCAATGCTTTCAATAATCTCCTCTTCTCTGTGTTCTTTAGCCTTAAAGCCGATGCCATCATTCAATATGTTTCCAACTGTGGGGGCCATGATGAGAAGATATTCCTAAAACGTGACGGATGAACGCAAAAGAAAATATGTGATTCTGCGACGAGCATGCAGAGGAGTATTTACATTAACTAATAAAATAATCGAAAAGTTCCATTGTTTGGGGCTTACTTGAGGGGCTACGACATGTTTTGATACGGTCTTGGACATGTATCTTCTGGCATGGGCTTCTTGTTCATAAACACGGAACGGAAAGTGCATGGTTCGAGTCAGTGTCATCCACTTTTTAGGCATTAGACCAATGTAATTGTTTCGTGTATCATACCAGTGGAGACTCCAAGTGTTTACCCACCTCTGAAGAAACATTCGCTGCGGTCACTAACATATCTTTATTTATACACTCGTCTCGGTTGTTTCTGCCTGGAACATTAGTTCGGGTTTGTGATGAAAATAGCTTTCAAAGACAGCCCAGACATATTATATAGCCTACTATCTCACCGAGGGAAAATGGTCATGGTTTTGCATGGTCATTTGACAAGCAATTGTCATAGAGTCATTATAATTGCTTGGCCTTCTGACGTTTGTAATTGGATGTAGATAGATTAGCCTATCTATTCAACTTTCAAGAGACAGAAGAGTTTGTTCGGTTGATTCTAAATGGCGAGTGAAGTGAACCGTTGAGGAGAAATTCTAAAGTCCAAAATGCCTTAATAGTTTATATATAGTTAAGGAAGAGTATTGTATAAAGAAGATTTTCTTGACCATTTCAAGATGATGGTGATACATTTATGTTTAATCGGCGCAAACGAACTATAATTTTAGGAGGAAATGCAGCCAACAATAGGCTTTTATACAACTTTATACAATATACAAAACTGCATTTGACTTGACATTGTGCTTGTCATTTAAACATGTTTTCTTACGGAAATTCTCTAGAAAAATCTAGATAATTGATTGACTTTTTTTTTTTTTTTAATTAAGGTAGCCTACCTATTTTTGCTTATGATCTGGTTATGCAATAAGCTAATTAATCTATTCCCCGAAAAGACAAAAGTCTGATGTTAGAGAGGTAATTATTGCGTATCTTTACAAAAAGTTCCTGTTTATCATTAGGCTGTTACAGCATCAGTCTAACTCGTGTCATTCGTAACTCATCGTCGTAATAATTCTATGGTAAGATTAGGCTATGTGAATGTGTCCTTTTAATTTGGATGTCAGTCAATTGTCATTGTCTAAATCAAAACAATAGGCTTCGGGGTAGGGGCGGACTTACCCATTAGTCAAAGGTCGGCGACCGTCTTGGGCCCCCAAAAGCCAAGGGCCCCCTAAAATGCTTTTCATATACGAGATGCACATTAAGCGCGGACACGCGAATAGTTGCTGTTTACGGTGTTTACAACAGTCGTGCTTCTTGTGTATCCTGCTTGTAGCAAATGAAAATATCATGCATCTGACGCTGTAATTAAATGCATTCTAAATGTTTCAATGTATTTTAAAGTTTAGAATTAGCCTTTTTGAGAGTTTAGGCAATGGGTTGAGCCCAGGCACACGCTGGTAACTCATCAGTGCTCTTTTCTCGTCAATATATTTTTTCACACTTTTCTCATTCTCACTAATTCAAGTTTTTATATGAATTAATATCTGAAGGGAACTGACTGCCTTCAGAAAAGTTTCGATGGCATTTTCATTTTATCTTATAAAGTCATGTTTGTGAGCGGAGCTAAAGCCGTTACCAGGGAAACCGCTATATTTCTGACGTTCCAAAAGCGCCTCCTGCTGGCAGAGAATGAATGTTAATTTTCAATAATCCAGTCTGCAGTTTTTGTTCAGACCAATGCGAAGATCCACCAATATAACCTCGTTTTAGATTAATATAATAATTTATACTTCTGACTCATCCCTTTTCTTAAAAAAAAAAAAGTTTTAAAGGCTAAATTGTGAGGTTTATCATTTTATCATTTGTTTTGTTTTTGTGAAAACCTGTATCTCAACTGTAAATCAATTGCTATTTTGTGGTCTACAACATGAAAGAAAGCCATTATAACATGTACATGAAAAACGTAGAAACACTGGATACAACTATGGGCACCATTGTGCAGCAGCAAGCATCACAACAAAAAAGGAGCCTCAAGTTTGATCTATATTTTGCCTGGGGCCCCCAATTCACTAAATCCGCCCCTTCTTCGGGGTCTACAACGAGAAAAAGATCGTTCGAGGAAGAAAAAAAAACAGAGTTATCGGTTAGACCAACCGTGGACTTTCCAGATGAGTCACAAGGACGCTGAGAATCGTGGGCCCAGTTTTTCTATATGGTCACTTTCAATGAAACTGCTTATAGACTAGTCTTAAAAGTTAGTCATCTATTTTTTTTCCTGTAAGACCTGTCATATCTTTTTGAAATCAGTTATATAAAAACGAAGAATGGTCTAATTTGAATCCAAAAAGTAAAACTGATCACCGCTTGTTTAACTGCTAGTCAAACCAGCTCTTAAGACACAGTCTTAATATAGTGACTATGTTTATGCAACTAACCTCTGCTCTGTCAGTGACAGCATGTCACAAGCATCGATAACATTGCGGTTTTGTACGAGTTTTAAATAAAACTGGTCGCGGTAATATGGCAGTTAATGGAAACAAAATAATAATGATAATAGTGATAATAATTTTAAAAATAAGCTACAATAAACCAATCAATTATCTAAGTTGTTACTGAGTAAAAATCGAATTCCTATAAGATTCTAAAAAGTTTAAGTTACGTTTTATAGATACGAGTACGTTGTTGCATAAATTATTAATTGTATAAAATGTGTATACAATTGTCTGGATTATATTACTCAGTTAAAAGGTATTATTTACAATTTAAAAGGATCAACTGATAACCATAACTTTTATCTACCAAATGGAATTAAACTGCTTTGCAAGTTAACACCTCTGAAATGTTGACTGCTCCTGTAACTCAAATCCGGCCGTAATGAGGACTTTCGCAGATTAACGATGGGTGTTTTGGGGCCATTTCGGGATTCAGAGGGACAAAACCAACAATATTTATGATGGTTTTAAGCATCGATCACATCGACAGCTTTTAGTTTCTCCACCTGTATTTGATTAGCATTAAAGATTGCATTCCAACCTAGTTCACCCTAATACATCAAAAATGAACACGAACGTTTTCATTCTATATTTAATATAGCCTATTGCACACGGACTAGGCTACTGTTTAATTCAGCTGCTGAAAATGCTGTAGGCCTATCCCACAGTCAAATTTAAAATGTTGTACTTCCTTATTTTTTTATTTATGATTTTTTTATTATTATTATTATTTACTTTAATTTCCAACTTCTCTTTACGTTTGTACCGAGATCATCAATAACAAATCAATTATGATTTTGAATTTGGTTGCAGAGGCATGGTGGTGTAATATTGACATTCTTCAAAAAAAAAATTTTTTTAAAAGAGGCATGCCTCAGTTTTTACTTTATTGAGCCTCTTCATTGTCGCATCAGAAAACTTTCCATTGTGATCTTAGCTGTTCCAATATTTAATATAGCCTATTGCACACGGACTAGGCTACTGTTTAATTCAGCTGCTGAAAATGCTGTAGGCCTATCCCACAGTCAAATTTAAAATGTTGTACTTCCTTATTTTTTTATTTCGTTTGTACCGAGATCATCAATAACAAATCAATTATGATTTTGAATTTGGTTGCAGAGGCATGGTGGTGTAATATTGACATTCTTCAAAAAAAAATTTTTTTTTAAAGAGGCATGCCTCAGTTTTTACTTTATTGAACCTCTTCATTGTCGCATCAGAAAACTTTCCATTGTGATCTTAGCTGTTCCATTTAACGTCTTCAGGGTGAGACAATGATGGGGAAGTAACTCCCTCTGCTGTTCACTTTTTGCTAGAACATGGATGAGAAAAAAAATATTGTACATATTCGCCTTAACCCACTGTACCCGAATTCTCCCTGCTGTCATATTCTAAACATGCAGTTTACATAATTTGTTGAAGAAAAAAAATATACAAGCATATATATACTTGCAGTAGCCTATGCATGTACTCTAAAAACTGCTGGGTTAAATACAACCCAGTGCTGGGTGTTTTTGACGGTCGCTGTGATTTTGCCAAGTCAGACATGTTCCTGGATCACCATCTTTTGTTGATCCTGGGACAACATTACTGTCCAATAACACAGACCTAACACTATTGTTTTCCTACCCCTAAACTTAACCCTACCCATAATTTATCCCTAAAATCAGAGGGAAATGACAGCTGAATAATAGAGGTGTAGAAGCACCTAACCCTTGTTGTAAGCCTAAAACTGGCATTTCCTGTAAACCTGTTCCTCAAATCTGGTTGATTGGGATGTTGTTCCAGGATCAACAAGGACGTTGATCTGGGAACATGTTGTACTTGGTGAAATCACATTCACCTGTTTTGACCTTCTATGTAGTTTATTTAACTCAAATATTGTTAAAAAATACTATATGGCTGACTTAAAATAAACCCAAAATAGGGTGTAAATTAAAAATCAGACACATAATTACTAGAGGCATCAGCAATAATCAAAAGGTGAACATTTATTAATAAGAAATTAAACATGTTTATTATTTATTCAACATTAATTAATGTTCATTTATTGAACATATTAATAAGTGTTAATTTCCAACCTATTTTGGGTTCAATAAATTTTAAGCAAGAAATATAGTAATTTTTAAGCAATAGTTGAGTTAAATAAAACTACTCAGAAGGTTGGATTAAGCATTTAACCCAATCAAAACAACCCAATCACTGGGGTTTGTCCATATTTCACCCATGAGCACATGGGTTGTTTTTAACCCAGCATTTTTTTTTATGTACTTGCAATATACAAGTAAGCAAGCAAAAGATTAAAACTGAAAACTAAACTCATCATGCCTTACCACATGGTTATACAGAAGAACATCACTTACTGAATGAATGAATGAATGAATGAATTATGCATTTATATAGCGCTTTATTGTGTATTGTTGTACACCCAAAGCGCTTTACAATCATGTTGGGGGGGGGGTCTCTCCTCAACCACCTCCAGTGTGCAGCATCCACTTGGCACATCTACTGTACGTCGTATTGTCGTGTTTGATGTACAGTAGAAGACCACAGACGATCCCACTTCTGCAGCAACAGTGTTTCCCAATACTGGTCCTGGAGCACCCCCAACAGGTGAATCGTATTACAATAAGCCTTAAAAGTACATGCATCGTCTGGTTGAATTATATAGT